CTATCTATCTATCTATCTATCTATCTATCTATCTATCTATCTATCTATCTATCTATCTATCACTTATCTCTATCTACTATCTGTCTGTCATCTCCCTGAAACTTCAACCCGGAATGCCTTACCGGGACTGATCTATTGTATTCTGTTTTTTTCTGTCCTCTTTCTCCCTTACAGGTTGGGGGTTCAGTATGGGAACCCATTACCACTTCCACAGCTGGCGGGTTTTTGTGGTGGTCTGTTCCCTCCCTTGCATAGCATCCCTTGTGGCTCTGAAATTCATGCCAGAAAGCCCACGTTTTTTGTTAGAGGTAAGCCATCTGATCTGGGAATGGAGACAGTTGCACAGAGTCACTTGGAATCCCCTCCCACTTTTTCAGCACAGATTTAAAAACGGGGCTACAAAGCAGCAGCATGCTTTCTCACTAGTTTGAGGCTGAAAGGACTATGCAGTTAGACAGAAGCCCGGAAAAAGGCTTAACGTAGACTAAAAATAATCAGACTACAAACTCTACGCCAACTATGAAAATATGAAAAAATTCTGTACGCAGAATTCTCCTTTTTTCCATGTCAGAAAGAGAGATTGTTATGCAGGATTTTCTCTTGCTTCTAAAGATACAGATACAAAGCAGGATGAAAAGAGATAACTCTGTGCTGAGACTCATAACGTATGGTGAGTCACAGCAGCAATCTGCAGAGTTTTTATTTTTGTTACATACTTTGTTGAGTCATGGTGGTGCAATGGTTAGAGTGCAGTACTGCAGGCTACTTCTGCTGACTGACAGGTGCCTACAATTTGACAGTTCAAATCTCACCAGGCTCAAGGTTGACTCGGCCTTCCATTTTTCCGAGGTGGGTAAAATGAGGACCCAGATTGTTGGGGACAATATGCTGACTCTGTAAACCGCTTAGAGCAGGGGTCTTCAAACTTGGTAGCTTTAAGACTTGTGGACTTCAACTCCCAGAATTCCTCCTCCAATCATGTTAGCTCAGGAATTCTGGGAGTTGAAGGCCACAAGTCTTAAACTTGCCAAGTTTGAAGACCCTTGGCTCAGAAAGGCTGTAAAAGCACTGTAAAGCGGTATGTAAGTGTAAGTGCTATTGCTAAAAGCTATTGTTATTATTTCAATGGCCCACAATTTGCTTTTGAGCTCTAAGAGATTGTCCAAGATAAATACTACCTCTCAAAACTTGTCTTATAGTAATTGGTTCCTCGATGATAAAGATTCAGGAGACCATGATTAAACAACCAGCTTTAAGCTTCCCTTGTGAAAAGATCTACCTCCTTGTCATTTCAGCAGAAGACTGTTAGAAGGACAAATGGAAAGTCTCCTTCCAAATTCTACAAGGACATATTGGCTCTAAACAAGAAATAGTTCAGTTGCTGGAATTTCTGTAACCTCATGTATGCATGGGAGTAAGTCTTGCTTAGGAGAATTTCTTAGATGATCGTGCTTGGAAAGCAATTGCTTTTGATTTCAGGCAGCTACCACAAAGCCAGATGCGAGCTCTCCATATGTGTTGGACTTCAGCTCCCAATTGTCTTTGTCCACTATGTCCAAGGGCTGGGGGTATTAGGAATTGGGAGAATTTACTTGGAGGGCAGCAGATGAGTAGAATTTACACCAATGCCATGTGCACAAGTGCTTCATGGTGAGATTCCTACTTGTCCTTTGGCTGTCACTCTTCAACAAATCTGGGCAAGCCGGATTAAATTTGATTTAATTTAAAATACAATTGATAGAATTAACATGAAAGCAAATTAAATAGGATTTAACATGATTACTTCTTATGGCTCTGCAATGTTCGTTTCTTCTTTCTCCCTCCCATTAAAAGATCGTTGGAGTTACTAACATTTCTTGGAAATGCAAACTGTCCTACATCTCAGATTATATTCACAGAAAAAAAGGGAAAACCATGCTTTTTCAAATATTCTTTCACCTTTCTTGTTCTCTGTAAGTAGAGGCTTCCCATAAGGCTGGGAGGGGAGAATGCTGATTAAGTACAAGTTATTCAGTTACTGGGACCAGAGGTTTATTCTTCCAAGCTTTCAGACTCCTGGTGGGGCCCATTC